TCTACTTTTGAGTAGAGTTGGAAACACCATTGCTCTACTTAAAGATGGCAGCTGACCATATCTATTTCAGTGTGTATTGTTCTCCACAGTTCTGCCACTAGAATCTCATGCACTATGTAGTAATTAGTATTCCTCCATCAAGTCTGCCATTCCAAGGCTTTGGTCCATACTTGTTTCTGTTCCAGTTAATTCAGAATCACCCAAATTTTTAAAATTTGAGTCTGTTCCAGTTTCACTTCACCATCCATGACTAAACAAGTGTGAACGGATTCAAAGCCTTGACTGGGAGTAGCTCATGTGTTACTTTCTCAAATTATGTATGTGTACATCACTTTATGGAAGATGCCTTCCTGTCCTTGACATATATTCCATACATAACATTATTAAACTCTAACATTGATTCTGTATATAAATATTTTACACTCTCAAGAGCAAAGGCAATAGGAACAATTTGAAAAGCATAGAAATAAACTTGCTTAGCCTGAGCAGGAAGAAAAACTTTCAGAGAGTTTCAAAGATTTTTCCTGAATTGTCTTTTCTTGTTTTTTTCTTTCCCTCCCCAGGTTTCCATTACAAGCAGTAAAAACCTAGGATTCTACCTTGAAATGGACTTGTAGCAAATATTACTGGATGAAACAGAATGCATTTCATGTTTATTTTTTTTGTCATATATTTGCATTCCTGGGATTTATTCACAAGCATTTTTTGAACATAAATAATTTTAGTTCATTTAAAATGTTTTGGTTATCCCTGATCACTTGGGCAGTACAAGAAAATCTAGCTTCTGAATCTGACCACCTCTATGCTACTTCAAATGTTTCCTGGTAGATGGTATGTAAGAGCTCTATAAAATGCCATTTTTGTTAGGTTTGGAGTATTAGTATTAGCAATTAGAATTTATGAAGCTGAATGACCAAAATAAAATAGAATGTTTGAATGCAATGCAAAATAAAGAATAAAAGAAATATTTTATTGGTGCATTAACATATGTATTGAAGTACAGGACCTTTTGGTTTTTGTACTTCTCAGGAAAAGGGCAAAGTAACTACCATAGAGTATTAAAATAAATAAATGAATAAATAAAATACCCGGAGCAGTTGAAATATGTTATTTTGACCATATGGACTGTAGGGATTTTTCATATCCTTAGGAGCCCTACCAGAAAAGTCAGCCTAGATACCATTCTTTTAACACTTTCTCTGCTGATACTTCCTGAATAGCATGTTTTCTGATGCCTCTGGGCCTTTATTAATATATACTGCCAAAACTATGGAAATTTAAATCATATCTATTCAAAGTCAACTGAAAATGAAAAGTTTTGTATGCTTTCTCTTGTTTTACACTTAATTGTAGAGTCAAGGGAAACGGAACTGGAAGACGATTGTATAAATTAATGACGCCACCATCACCCTGGCTAGAGATTGAAGTTTCCTTCTGGCTTAAGTCATGCTGTATTTGTTGGCCTCCTTTCAATGATTTACTCAATTATCAATAATTCAGTTAATTCAAAAATGAAGTTAAAGTTGATAAAGTAGTTCTTTATTCAAGTGTTTTGTTCCATACAGTTGTTAATGATACATGGGTATTAAATTTCCTTTTATAGACCATTGTTGTTGTTAAGTGCTGTCAGGTTGATTCTGACCCATAGCGACCCTGTATAGGGTTTCCAAGGAGCAGCTGGTGAGCTTCACAACTGCTCTTTTATAAGACATTTAGGGTCTGTCTGGTGGTTAGTTGCTCACCTCATGGAAATGCTTATTTGCCCATACTACATATTTAACCAAAATGCCAATCTGTGTATATAAAATTCAATCCTCCAGCTTGATCTGCTTCAGATTTCATTATATGAATCTGTTTTTGGCATTTCAATATGGCTTTTGTTCGTTTAGGAAAGAAACATAGGTAACTAGAGAAATAGTTGTTACTCCATTCCTTTCCTATTGGGAAGCTATTTTAAATAGTTTCTCTGAGTATATTTGGACCTCTCATTTTGGAGAAAGGTCTGTAATTTCACCGGTTTGGAATCCTAAGAACTTTGGTGAAAAGCATCTAAAAGTTAAATTCTAGGAAAATGTAAATCTAAAAAAAAATCAGAGCCTAAAAATAATAGAACTTTGAAAGGTTAAAATGAAATTGGTGAAATAAAATTCCATCTACATGGGAGGGAGACAAAATGAAGAATGGAGGCCATAGCTTTAAGACAAATTCCAGGACGGGGTCTTAGTACCCAAAGCTATGGTCATATTAGCTTACAGTGATGCTATCTTTTTCTTTGTCTGCCCTATGATTTTGCTTCATGTTTTTAACAGTTTTTATGGTAATTGTAAAGAAAAAAATGTTGCATATTTTTATTTGATAATTAGGCAAATGGGCAACTTCATTTGCAATATTTTTATTTTATAAATGTTTATTTTTCTATCTTATAAAACAATCGGTGTTACTTAAAATTTTTTGCATTTTTCTTACCTCTCTTGTGCTTCATCCTATCATATTTATTATTGTAAAATGTTAACTGGAGATCCTTTATTCCAAAATTATCAGGCCACTTTAATAATTTAACCAGAAAAAAAAAAAAAGTTACTGTGTCAGCTATCTTTTAGGATTTTAAAAGATTTTCTTAAAAATTTTATTTTATTTTTTCTTTAAGCAAATACTTTTTAAGAGTACAGAAGCAATTCTTTCCCTAAGACTAAGGAGAGAAAATCAGACTCAGCCAATTAAGTTTTCTTATTCTTTCTTACTCTTGTAATGGAGTAATTCTTTTTAAGGTTGTAGATCTAACAAACGATTGTATTTTAATGAATTGCTAAAACACTTGTCACTGTTTTCTCTGCTTTTTAAAAAAGTGTGTCGTGTTTCTGTAATATAAAGGTGTTGCTTTGTTACTGTGCCACTACTGGAAGACTGCAGTTTATTTTTTGGGCCCACAATGTTTATTCTTTCTTGCTGTGATGTAAACCAGTGTGTCTGGCCTCTAACATCATTTCCGTTTGTAAACCCTCTGTTCTTTGGAAGCCAGTCCTCATTAACACCTTATGTTTCTGAATAAGCACAATGTATTTTGTTGCCTTAAGCTAAGGCTACTTGACTTGTAAACCCTTCCTTCTCCTTCTTTATAAGTTACTGCCTGGAAGGAAGGAAGGTCAGAGGAAATGTTATGACTTAAAAAAAAGAAAAAGACTAATGTTCAAACCATTGTTAATTATTATTTTATTCAGTGAATAGACAGTTGCTTCTTGTTGTTGTTGTTAAGTGCTGTCGAGTCAGTTCATACTCATAGCGACTCTATATAGGATTTCCGAGGATCGTCTGGTGAGCTTGAACCGCTGGCCTTGTGATTCAAACTGATGTTGCAGTGCAGTGCATTAACCAACAGTGCCACACTAGGACTCCAGACAGTTGCTACACATGCTTTTAAAGAACATTGAAGGTTTTTTGTTTTTTTTTAAGTAATTTCCCATATCATTGAATTACTGTTTCCCAAAAGATTTTACAACAACCAGCAGCATGCTAATGAACTCAACAACAACAAAAATCCAACCTGTATGTTTCTTTATATCATAATGAAGAATCTAAATTAGGAATAAATACACACACACACCAGGGTCTTAAAAAAAAAAAAAAAAGTTCATGGAAAAATCCCATTCTCTTTCAATTTCATTTTTCCACAAACTTTTTGAAGTCCCCTCATATGTGAATAGATGTTCATAAGAGGAAAACCTTTTTCAGAATGTCAAAGGCCACTTGGATTTAGATGAACATATTTCAAAATATATGCTCCTGGGCCTTATACACTGAACTCACTCTAGGAAATACTAAATGTGACCTTTTGCACCTTTTTCTTCATTGCAGAATAACCAGGTTGCTGACAGCTGTCCATTCCTTTCCATCAATGTAAGGATAGCTTGGTATAAAATAATTTGCTTTTCACTGTTAAAATTGTCTCTAAATTTCATCTTGTGCCAAATTTTCCTTTAGAAACATCTACTATAATGATGGTGCATTCGGAATACCACTTAAGTGATTAACTTTTTTGGGCCGTGTTATTTAATGTGTGTTGCCTTTGTATACAAATCTCTATAGAATGTCATGAGTATTCATTAATATTCATTAATATATTGATGCTTTGCTTGAAGATGTCTAGTGATTGGCTGTAAGATCGAAGCCTAATAACTGAGTGAATTCTCTGGATAAAGTAGCTGAAGTTACAGAGAACTGAGTAGAGCATGCAGTCAAAAAAATTTTTTCCCCCTTTTGAGGAAACAGTATTTGGGTAGGGAACATTACTATTGAAAAGGAACAGTGTTCAGATGATTTCGCTGGTAACCTAGACTTTACTAGAAATAATTAGGAAAAATTAAACCATGATGTTTCGACAAAACTAAACTTCAGTACTTTGTCCCTAACTTATTGCTCATCATCTGAAAAGTGGCTATATAAAATGGGCCCATGTTCTCCTATCTGAGTCTTATATCTGTGTATATGTTACTATTGATTTTTTTTTTCCCCCCTCTTAGCCCAAAATAGGCAATATGGGCAAGGAGAAATAAAACTGGAGACTGTTCTGATAATTCTGCATGGGACACAATTTCTTCTAAATATTTGGTAGAAGAATCTCTTATCCATGATGATATCTAACTGTAAAAAGTCAGAGGCTGTTGTTGGTCTCACAAGGTGGCAGTTCAAACCCACCAGCTGTTGCTTGGAAGCCTGACACAGGGTTGTTATGAGTTGGAATAGACTCGCAGGCCCTTAAAAACAGCAACAACATTGTTGCTTCTAGTATTTAATAACCATTATAAGAAATGCTGGAGTCCTGGTGTGGTGCTATAGAATAAGATCTGGGATGCTAACCGCAGGCTGACAGTTCAAACTCACCAAGCTGCTCCTTGGAAACACTATGAGTCAGAACTAATTGATAGCACTTAACAACAACAACACTGGAATTGCTGAGATTCCGAGGACAGGGTAAACTTCTCAGAGTCACTCTTCTGATGAGCCCTGCACTTTATGTTAGCAGTGTCTGTGAGGAGCAGTATTGCCTTAAATTCATTGTACTTCTACTGCAGTCAGTGTACTGTAATTCATGTATGCAAATACTAGCCAAGTCTACATTGGGACAGAATTCACAGATGATCCCTAAGGAGCATTGACCCTCCTCTCACACTCAGTGATGACTCATTGATAGGTGTACTAATTCAAGGTGCCTAATCAGCCCATAAAAGGAGTCCTGGAGGCACAGTTAAATGTTCAGCTGGTAACTAAAAAGTCAGTAGTTGAAATCTAGCAGCTGCTTCCCAGGAGAAAGTTGCGGCAGTCTGCAACGTTGAAGACTATGGCTTTGGAAGCTCTATGGGATAGCTCTACTCTGTTCTATAAGGTCACTATGAGTTGGAATGCCTTCAGCGGTTATTGGTATGACTTTTTGGGTGTTGGGTCAACCCATGAATGAGCAGTGGCATGACTAACAAGGCTGGTAGGATAGTGAGAATCTCCTTCACACTAGGTGATCACAGCCTCAATGCTGAGAATTGACTGCTCTCCTTTCCTGTGTTGACTACGTAGGAGATGTTTCCAGAGTATGTACTGTGCATTGAAGACACTCAGATTCATTGTTTTGTAAGAATTTCACCAACACCCTTGAGTATTAAAATGCTTAACAAAAAAAGAAAACCAAACAGAACAGACATTTACTTGAAATGGGAGATTTGTTGATGTGAAGAGTGTTTTTATTAAGGAAAACTTTTGCTATAGGTAGGGAAGACACAGACTGTTTTTTTTAAATGTTCTATTTGGTGCCACATACTAACACAATCATGTTAGCAAGCAAGTTGACTTGTGGATATTACTGTTCCTAAAAACCATCCTTTTTCCCCTTTATATATATATATATATATATATACACACACACACATATATGTGTATATGACTAGTTCCATGTTCTTAATAGATTAAATATGCTTTTGGGTACTTTCAGCAAACTAGAAAATGTTTTTATCTTTTTGAATAGTTTTTCATAGCACAGGGATGGAAGCACTCTGCTGGTTTCAGCATTTCAGATACAGGCAAGATTAATTGTATAAGTTAGTCACCATTAAATAAACAGAAACCTAAAACCCAGGAGAATTAAAGACAGGGTTTGACTGGCATCCCCTTTTTAAAGGAGCGAATATTAAGAATGGCTGAGAGAATATGAATCTATTATGACACGTTATAGCTCTTTGACTCTTTGTGTTACAGATTTTAATAAAATAGTTCCTAGCTGTTATATTTGGTTAGAGAGATTTTGATGTCAAGAATTTTATGTATTTCTGATTGAATTAGCCTCTGAAATCCCTGTAGGCTATAACTTCAGCTCTTGTAAACTGATTTCTGAAGCCAAATGCCTGATTTCAGAAATCACTGTTTTATCACTTGCTCTCAAAGGTAACTCACTATTCCTTTCATAAGTATCAAATAATGAGGTGGAGCTCTGCAGTAGTTATGCTTTGACTTAAATGCTAGTGGTTGGACCCCACCGAGGGACTTTGTGGGAGAAAGACCTGGTGATCTGCTCCTGTAAAGATTGCAGCTGGGATAACCCAAGGGGACAGTTGTTCTACTCTGTCACAGGGAGGCACCGAACCGCAGCAGCTTAGTGTGAATAGAGCCTTGAAAATGGTGTACCACATTGAGCATTTACTCTGACAGGGTTCTCCAAGAGGAATTGGTCTTAGTCCAATATTACATTTTGAAAAGGTGCTGCATCAAAACATTAGAGTATGCCCATATCAGTCAAATCGCTCAGGAAATTTGAGGTGGTGCTCTCTTTGTTCTTATAATTTGGAGAAGTCCTCTCTTCAGAAATACTACACAGTGCCCAGGCACATTTAGATTCTTTTGACATTTGGAATGAGGATATTTTTACCAGTGAGATGTTATCCCAAGTGCTCATCAATTCGTAGCCAGTAGCTTTGACATACATAGCTACTTTGTGGAACTGACCAGAATGTTGATGGGGTTGTTTGCCTACCAGAGGATGGAAAGCAAGGAGGCTACTTCAAATCACATTCCTCACTAGAGATTAAATGAAACTGTGTGGGACACTTTGCAGATGCCTTAAAGGTGACCAATGTGAGTACTGATGGGTATGTATACACTGTGCACCTGTTTGGATTAGTCTGTTCCAGTTGCCCTTCGCACAGCACAAGTTGTTCTTGCTCATGACTTCATGGAGGAAAATGAGAAATGTGGTGCTGGTGACTTTCCTGCAACTTGGGAGCTTGAGGTCGACATCACCGATCTTCAGCACCCTTCAGTGCTCATGCCTCCTTTCCTTGCCAGTTACACATCTGAATCAATTCATCTATGCAAGCTTGTGGGTGTTTTTTTATTGTTACATACCTTTTACTCTATTTGGTTCTTTAAACATCAGGTTTAACATAGTATGAATAATTTTTTAAACCAAAGTATTGTGTGGGTCTGTCTGTTTTTCTGGATGGTATGAAGCAAACACCCTCTCTTAATAAAGTCATCCATTTGTTAAGTCAGTAGTCTCTGTCTCATGTTTTCTTTGCTTCGGTCAAGACTTAAGTTTTATTTTCATTTGCTTTTTTTTCTTTACAAATTCAGTCTAATATGTCTTTTGCTCAATAACAGTAAAATTTTATCTTCGAATTCAAACCACTTTCTATGAATGTGTATAAGGAAATAATGCTGCCTGTTGTTGTTGTGTTAGTGCCATGGAGTCGCTTCTGACTCATAGTGACCCTGTACAGGGTTTCCGAGGCTAAATCTTTATGGGAGCAGAAAGCGTCATCTTTCTCCGCGGAACAGATGGTAGTTTCGAACTGTTGACCAGGAGATTAGCAGCCCGATTCAGAGCTCTGTAACAATGCTGCCTAGTGCTTTGAAATTCTCAACAAAGACTCCCATGTTTAAATCTGTTATAGAGAAGCTGCTTTGTTTGGTGGTGGTCTGTGACTTGGTTGGTACGTTTGGGAAAACAGATAAGTGGATGTTCACACAGTAATTCTGATGATTGAAGACGACTTCATTAGTGCCGCAAGCCCATTTGCACTAAGCCTGATGCTGTGTAGACGTGGATTTTGAAGAAATGGATATAAATGATACCCATCATTTATTTAGCATCTTACCTTTAGAAGGCTTGTTCCTTTAGCTTATTTTATTTGACAAAAAAAAAACAAAAAAAAAAAAACAGACATGATTTGGAAGCAGATTCTGGCAGATATTTAGCAGGCTCTTTTAAAATAAGATGTCTGTTTAATGACTACAAAACTGAGTTTTTAGAAAGCCCATTATTTCCTTGTAGCTGATTCTCTAGGCCTCCATTTCTTCTCTGAAAATGTGGTGGTGGTGTGCCGTGTAGTGGTTCTGACTCATAGCGACCCTGTACAGGGTTTCCAAGGCTGTAAATCTACCAGAGCAGAAAGCCTCATCTTTCTCCCACAGAACTGATGGTAGTTTCGAACTGCTGACCATGAGATTAACAGCCTGACTGGTAACCACTATGCTACCAGAGCTCCTTTCTGACAAATACAAGCGAATATAATTGGTCTCTACAGGATCACTGAGTCAGAACAGAATTCAGGATACTTAACAACAAATGGTCTGTAGTCACTACCAGCTGCCTAGGGAGTACCAGGGACATGCAGATGTTAGGACTGCCGTTTGTTCAAGAAACTTGGATTTGATTTGCATTTTCATCCTTGAAAAAAAATTATAGAGTAAACTTACCAGGGAAGAAAATTGAGATGTTTATGGGAGTACTGTGGATCCATACGATAAGCACTGGGCTGTAAACCACAAGGTCGGCAGTTCAAACCCATCAGCTGCTCTCTGGTAGAAAAATGAGGCTTTCTGCTAACACGAAGATTTAAAGATCCTTGGAAACTCTGCCTGTACAGTGTTGGCTATCAATCAGAACTGACTCTGAAGGCACTTAACAACAATGAACCAACTGACAAAGTTAAATATGGACCTAAGCTCTCTTAAAACTGTGGAGGTGGTGTATGCTGGCTAGTCAGTTTGGACTCAGCAACCCTGTAGAGGGATTGTGAGAACAGCTGGTGACTGAACTGCTTACCTTGATTGGCAATGCAGTGATTATCTGACAGTGCCACACCAGGAGTCCACAGCAACATTGTGAAGTGCTGTGGAATCTTTTGTGACAACGACCCTGTACAGGGTTTCTGAGGAGCACCTTTGGTGGGCATGAGCCACTGACCTTGCAGCCCAGCGCATTAACCCACAGCACCACACAAGGCCAGTACTTATCCTACAGTGCCACACCAGGTGTCCATAACAAAATTTTTAAGTGTCATCGAGTCGGTTCCGACCCATAGCAACCCTGTATAAGGGTTTCCGAAGAGCAGCTGGTGAGCTTGAACTACCAACCTTGCAGTTCAAATGGCTTTGCAGTCTGTACATTAGCACACAGAGCCACAAAATTAACTGTGCTAAAAATACGATCAAGAGTGAAACCTGGGTCCTACCCTTAGCTTCACCATTAACTTGCTTCTAGATCTTAAGGTGGCACTTAACCACTGTACTTTAGTTTTCTCACTTGTACAAAAAGCACATTGCTTTTAAAGTTGATGATGCCTAGACACTCCTTCAGGCCTACCCCAAAAGTGAACAGACTCGTGCAGTACATATTGTTAGGTGCCATCAAATTAGTACTGACTCATAGCGACCCTATGCACAACAGAAAGAAACATTGCCTGGTCTTGAGCCAACCTCACAGTTTTTGCTGCATTTGAGCCCATCGCTGCCAGCACTGTGCCAATCCATCTTGTTGGGAGTCTTTCTCTTTTTCTCCAACCCTCCGCTTTACCAAAAAGGATATCCTCCAGTGACTGGTCACTCCTAACAATATGTCAGAACTATGTGAGATGAAGTTTGGCAATCCTGGCTTGCAGGAATCATTCTGGCTGTACTTCTCCTACACAGATTGTTTTGTTCTTTCCTTTCAGCAGTCCCATGGTACTTTTAATACTCTCAAACACCATAGCTCAAATGCATCCATTCTTCTACAATTATCCTTATTAACTGTCCAACGTTTGCATGCATGTGAGGTTATTAAAAAGACCATGGCTGGGGGCAGGTGCACCTTAGTCCTCAAGCTGACATCTTTGCTCAACACTTTAAAAAGGTCTTGTGCAGCAGATTTGCCAAATGCAATAAATAAGTCATTTAATTTCTTGACTGCTGCTTTCCTGAGTGTTGATGGTTGATCTGAGCAAAATAAAATCTTTGACTTCAATCTTTTCTCCACTTATATGGGTGTTATGTATTGGTTCTGTGGTAAGGATTTTTTTTGTTTGCATTGAGGTGCAAGCCATACTGAAGTCTGTGGCCTTT